GGAAATCCTTCGGGCTCTTTCCACCCTTCTTTTCTCATCCCCTCCGGAAATCCTACGGGCTCTTTCCAACCTTTCTTCTCGGGCTTCTAACCTCTTTCGTCTCTCCGCAAGTTCCACTCCATCTGTATCCTTCTTCTCAACAGTGAAACAACTTTAGGGTGTCGTGTCTTGGTTGATTTGGAAACATTTGGACAGTCTTGCAGTGGTGGACCATCGGTTTGCTAGTCTTATGCACTTCTCTTATTTAATCTACTATTCGATGCATGTGAGGAACCCGCTCTGACGGTTGTCTGAGGATAGCTTTAGTTTTTAATTTTCTTTATTTCCTTAAAAAATCTCCTAGTATTTCTTGTCGTGTTTGTCAAGTTTTAGTTGTTCATCTTTATTTTAATAAAGTTTGTTTTAAGTTCTATCCATCGCGTCTGTTTCTTTATTGTGTCTACATCAGTGAATCACAATATCACATTTCTCAAGTTATTGATTCCCAAATCACATGTTGGAGTCATCAACTCACACATAGGTTCATAGTTATATATTATGTTTTGCCATACATGACAAATATAATCTTGATGCTTTTTACAAGATTGTCCAAAACTAAGAGCCATGTAATCAACACATCATGAACTAAGTTACACTTCAATGTGTTTGTTCAGAGGATACATGTTCAAGGCAATAAATAGATGAAATGATACAATAATAAGGACAACATCAAGCCTTTATCCACTTCATGGGGTTGGCTACATGAATCATTTTTCTCTAGTGTCCTACTAACAGTCAAATCCTCATTTAAATCTGATAAAAAGTAATTTCTAATACTTTTTAATCAAGTTTTTTAATATAAATCTACCTTTCTTAACATAGGCAACATCTAATACATTTACTCTCCTAACCGGGCTATCGGAAGGCTGAAGTTTTATGTGACCAAACCATCCAAACCGACTCTCTCTAATCTTATCTGTTGTTGGAGTTGCTCCAACCTCTTCACTTATATACTTGTTTCAAATCTCTAAGGCCATCTTCAACTGAAAAACTCATTTGCCACTCCAAAATGCAGTAAAAGCCCAAAATGCAAAACTCATCTTCAAGAGAACTCAATTTCTTAACACAAAAAAATAATATTCTCTGTATATTCTTTATGATATTTTTTTATATTTATTTTTATATATTTATCACTTTTTTGAATTAGCCCTACTTACAATTTTACCTAATTATTTAAAATGAAGAATATAATTTAAATAAATTAATTACATAAAAAATATATTAAATAAAAAAATAAGTTCTATGGTTCTTCATTTTAAAAATATATTAACAAAATTTTAAAATTATTAAATTACATTGAAAATATATTAAAATACAAAATTATAATATATATATATATATACAAAAAATAATAATTACATAAATAATATCTTAAATTTAATCATTTTAAAATTCTTTTCTGATTTAAAAAAAAAGCATTCGTGAACAGTGCAATGCCAATATTGGTGGCGTCGCACTGTTCACGATTATATGATTTGTGCATTTTAGCGTTCGGGTCGAGAAGCTTGCGAACAACAAACCATTGTTTGCAGTTTGGTTGGAGATTGTCTAAGTGTAAAGCCACTCACCTGCTGAGCATCCTCATCTCTGCAACACTTAATTTTATGTTTTTCTTTTAATGACCAATATTTTGTATCATAAAGTATTTTAGGTCTCATCACCATTTTATAAAATTTTCACTTAAGTTTGAGGATACTTTTCTATCACACAAAAGGTCAAATGCATTTCTACACTTCAACCATTCAACTTAAATTATATTAATAATATTCTCATATATTGCACCATCACTTTGAACAATAGAACAGAGATATCTAAAACATGCATTCCATTGATCTTGCTTCATTTGATTTTTTTTAATGATTTTCTTGTGAACTATGGTCTTTTTGTTAATGCTTTGCTATTATTAAGGGTACAATATTAGTCAAAACTTGAAACTTGCTTGAAATTTGCTAAATTTTTTAGTAGATTTAAAATCTACTCAAGTCAAGTCACGAGCCAATTTTTCGGGAAAGAAAAATATTATTTAGAATTTGTGCCTAAGGGGTTTCACTGGAATACGATTCAAATGAACTTGAATTGTATATTGTTAATATGAAATATATATGAATACACAAACACTCTTATGTAAATGCATTTCTCTACTTAAAAAAATGCAATTCTCTATTATTTTTAAAGATTTTTTTAATATATATTTTCTTTAATAATTAATATATCGTTTGTTCTATTTAATTTCAAATCATTTTGAGTTTCATTGAATTATAATAACAGGTCTTGCTAGAAGAAGAAAAATGATAAAGACTGTAATGTGTCGATGATGAGACTTTTAATAAGTGAGCTTTTTCTTGGAGTTTTGAATTTGGAGAGAATTTTCTATATTATGAAAACATAGAGTAGAAGTGTTATTGCTTTTAGATATTTATTTGTGAACTCCAGCCTTTCATTGAAAGTTCAATATTATTAACGGTGACAATATTAGTCAAAAAACTCAAAACTTTAAGAAAGTTTGAATCTCACTCAAATATTTAGTCAATTCTAAATCCACTCAAATCATTTCAAGTCAATTTAGGAGCCAACATTCTTGAAAAAATATTTGAGCAAACTTTGAGTCTAACGGGGCTCACTGGATATGATTATAATCACTTTACCTATATATTATTATATATCAACAAAATATACATACAGTCACCCTCACATAGCTAATTCTTTGGCATTTTTAGATTTTTTTAAATATTTATTTCTATTTAAAATTGAACGTTTTTTTAAGAAATATAATATAATAGTATATTTTATGGGTTATTTAATTTCAAATCATTTCAAGTTTGATCGAATTTAAATTAGAGTGACAAATATCATTTAAATTATACATCAATAATTTTGAGTCACATCGATCAAATTTTGAGGCTGCTTAGAATCGATTCATTTCTAAATCACAAATTGAGTTTGAGTACTTTTTTTATTTCAATCCAAAAATGAAAATTTTGACTTCGAACCGAGCTTGAATTGCTTGAACTTGATTCGATTACATCACTCTATTGTGCATTTATAGTTTCGCTTTCTGAAATGCAACCGTTGACAGTTTTATATGCCAACAATGTGCTGCCTTTATGTGATTATTGTTTGAAATTATTAAGTTGGAATAGAAGCCTTTTTGCATTTAGTGAGAGGGTAAGTCCAGAGTTTAACCATATGTTTTTTATAAGGTATTTGACAGTGTTTTGCTTTATTTTTGTATGGTTTTGTTACCATATACTCTTCGTTGGCCTTTTTGTATAAGGTTTGATTTTTTAGAGGATTCCCTTACTAGGGTAGTAGTTCCCGCTGACAAATTTTAGGAAAGGAGATTGTCTTCATGGTTAAAGGTGACATCATGAAGTCTCTTTGATGCTGTGTGACATCAATTATACTCTTGTACTATACCTAGGCAATATCTGAAAATCATGTACATACAACACAATTTCTATTAAATATATATTTTAATAAAATTTGTTCAATAGGTACTTATTAGTTCACTAGGTTTCATATAATGCAGAGGTCTTTCTTGTATGGATGCTTCCTTTATATTGAAGTTCCCTATTGCATGTAGGTTCTTTGACCAAACAAATAATCATTTTTCTCTACTTAAGCTTCTTTTGAGATGATTTTTTTATTGCTTCTTAAAGCAGCTTTCTAATACAAAAATTAAAAATTTTATATTAAAAAGCTGCTTAAAGAAGCAATAAAAAAGCCGTCCCAAACAAAGCCTTAATCTACTTATCTCTCATATCTGCTCTTAAATAAAATTACAATATATCTTTCGTGCTAACATTCAACCAAAGCAATGCTAGATTAGCTACCGTTGCATTATTATATCTTAAGACTCATTGCTTCTTCAAAAACAATCAATTCCTCACATTTGATAGCCAGCTTTTTATTGCCTAGTTGCCAACATTTTTCTTGCAAATATTTGAAGTTGAAGGTTTGATAAACTTGGGCCAGGGCTCATACACTTCGTTTTGTAATACTTTGTTGTGCTCATGCTGTATTAGTCTAGTCTTGGCTAATCCTGAAGAGAGGAGCATGTGCTCAAAAGTTTATTCTTTATAGTCATAGAAGCTATGGAGGGGATGCACTCATAGGGTGGTAAGCATTATGTTTTTTTCCACACAAATCAAAATTATGGATAGCATCTGTGTGAAAAGCAAGACATAGACAACATATTAGCAAACGAAGCTTTCGTTTGGATGTAGAGGAAAAGAAGGCTATGCTTAAAAATTAACATATGTTTGCACTGTTTGGTTTAACGTAGTTTATAGAGGAAAGTTTACCGGATGCCTTGGGATTTGAACTTTTTTTTTTTTTTTTAAATTTATGTTTGCATGGCGCCTATTGTGCGAGAAATTATTTTGTGCGGACGCCGGACGTTTCGGAGACCAATCAGAAAGCGTCATGTCACCCGGTAAACAACGGTACCGAGCACCGGTTCCGAGCAAAAAAGTGACGTGGCGCATTCTGGTTGGTCTCCGGAGGCGTCCGAGGTTCGCACTGAATAATTTTTCCTATTTTGCAGATTAAAGTACTCAATCATTGAACATTATTTGTATACCTGATAATTGATACATTCTATTGAATGAACTATTTTCTCTATACTTTGTTTTAATTTTTATATTTTGATACACTTTGTTTTACCTTTTGCCCTTGCATGCAATATAATCCTTTGCTATTTTGTTGTTGGTTTTTTTTTTGTTTTGTTTTTTTTTTGTATCTTTTATTTTAGAACTACTTCAAATAAGAATTTGATTAGCGGAGAGATTGTCAGGATCATGATCTTGCTTTTACAACTGAGATATAGTCTCAACTTTTTTTTTTCTTGACTAGACATTATTTTGAAATATTTTTTATTCTCAATAATTCTGTCAGTTGTTACATAACTGTCTCATACGATCTTAAAGTCAAACATGCTGTATTATTTATTCTGTTGGCAGGTTACATTACACATGGGTTGATGTTGGCACTCCAAATGTTTCATTCCTGGTGGCATTGGATGCTGGGAGTGATTTGTTCTGGGTTCCCTGTGATTGCATAAAATGTGCTCCCCTGTCTGGCTATCATGGTAGTTTGGTAGGCTTTATGTTTGTGTTATGATTAAATATAATCTGTTTTATTTCCTTATATAAAGTTGATATATTGATTTTTTTATTATGCTTTCATTTCATTACCTTTTTTTTCTTCATTTAGGTTTTTTTTTACTGAAATGCAGTTTGATGAACTAAAAGTTGACTTCTTATCTTAAATTGATTATCCTTCTCTTTGAATAATATGGTGAAAAATAAGAGGAAGAATGCATCATGGGAAAAAAATAGTATGCATAATATATTTAGCAATCAACAGGCGCAACAGCTTGAATATTTAGCAAAGTTTGCTGATGATCTTCAAACTTTTTTTGAATCATCATCATTAGCTTTATCCAATTATTCAAGATTGGACTTATGATTTCTTATGTGGTTCCTTCTGTGCGAATAAGCAGAGAAATTTCCTATTATACAAAAAATTCTACACGGGTAGGCTTGTGGCAACCTTTATAAGTTAACTAGTTTTAGCTTTTCCTTTTAAAAGATGAAATAGATTTGATGATGGTGTATAGCCTGCAAACGGCATTTCTCAAGGAACATGTTTTATATTCTATAAACCATCCTTCTGGGAACAAATATTTTGTGAAGCTATATTATGACAAGCAAATTGTAATTCCACATAAGCGTAGGCATTTAATACGAAATCAGCTAAATTCACTAGTTGCGCATGTAATAAAGGTAAAAAATAATAACGGTAGATTTTTACAGCTTTTTGGTCATGTATGTTTGCAAGTTTATGATACCGTGCTTTCGGGGAAAGATACTCATTCAGCAACCTGCAACTAAATGAAACTATAGTTAGCTTATTAGGTCCCAAATTTCCAAGCAATTTGAGCTTGCTGACAACACCAAAGAAGAAAGATTTGGAGGAAGAAGATGAATAGTAAAAGGGTTTTTTTATTAAAATTTAGATATAAACTTTTCACTGCAACACCACCCAACTTTATACAACTTGCTTTGCTCCATAAAGTTTTCACATCAAGACACATGGACAACTCAAACTAACTTCCTGAAAAATGACTTTTATTTCCCCTACTAAATTTCTCTCTCTCTCCCTGAGATCCATGGGGAAGTGTTTGGGCCATGTCAATGGACGCCTTGCCCTTATCTTTATTCATTTTTTTGTCGCCTTACCACATCAAAGGATGCCTTGCTTTGGCTTTTGTCTATCACTCCTCACCATCACGAGTCATTAGAGTTCTATCAACTCTCTTCCTTTTTGAGAAATACCTTGCCTCCTCCCAAACTCGTCTTTCATCCTTCCATTCATCCTATGCAAGCACGGCTCTGATCAGTCTACCTCAAGCCCAAGCAAATCTTCAAATTATCAACCACTCCTAAAATGTCCCTTACACCATCTAACTACACTTAGGCAGTTAAACATCAAAGTTAGTGAGAAGCAATGTCCACCGAATTCCTTGCACTTCAAAAATAAGGAACCTGGTCTCTCATTCTAGCTCCACAAAATGAACCCATACTCGGTTGTAGCTGGACCTATAAACATAAACTCAAACCTGACAGACATATTGATAGGTACAAAGCCCGCCTAGTTGCTCAAGGCTTCAAGTAGAAGTATGACATCAATTATAAGAAAACTTTCAGTCCAGTAGTCAAGATGCCCACCATATGCATCTTACTCACTATTGCACTACAACGACATTGGTCCATCCTACAACTAGACGTCTCCAATGCATTTCTACATGGCAAACTTCATGAGGATGTTTATATGAGACAACCTCCTGGTTTCATTGGTTCTCAATTTCTAAACTACGTTAGTAAGCTTCACAAGGCAATTTATGGCGTCAAGTAGGCTCTACGACAGTGGTTCAACAAGCTCACAACATTTCTATTAGACTTTGGCTTCAGCTTCAGTAAATCAGATCCTTGCCTGCTAATGTATTCAACCAATAATACTCAAATGTACTTATTTATGTAGATGATTTTCTCCTCATCGGCAACAATCACCAGCTCATGCAACAACTCCTGTCCAAATTACAATCAACTTTCTCTCTTAAATAGGTCGGCACGGTCGCCATGTTCCTAGGAATTCAGGTATGCAAGACAAATGAGGCTTATTTTTTCATCAGACTCACTACGCCAGGGATCTGCTGCAAACTTCAGGCTTTGCTAACTGCAAACCCGCCCTAACGCCGATGTCTCTCAAATCATCTCATGGGGCACTCTCGGATCAACACTTCAACGATACACATTTACATCGCAAACTTGCATGTTCACTACAATATCTGACCATTACCAGACCCGACATCGCATTTGCCACAAACTACATTTGTCAACACATGCACAATGCTACCAATAAAGATCATCAGTCGTGCATACGATTACTCAGACACATAAATGGTACACAACACTATGACCTTCCCCTTGTTCACAACGATCTCTCCCTTCATACCTAGTCGATGCAGATTGGGCACTGATTCCTCTGACAGGAAATCCATTACTGGCTTTTGCACTTTCCTTGGACAAAACTTAGTATCCCGACGCATTAAAACCAACCCACTGTTGCCAAATCTTCTACATAAGCTGAATACCGTGCTTTATCCTTAGCAACCACTGACGTTATTTGGCTTAGACACCTCGTAGCTGTTTTCCACGCCGTACCACCGGCAACCACCCAAATCTTTTGCGATAACACCTCAGCAATGGCGCTCGCACACAATCCAATATTTCATGTCAGGACAAAACACATCGAGATTGACTACTACTTCATCAATCAACACATCAAGACCAATGCAATTGAAATTCTTCACATCAACTCGATTGATTAACCTGCAGACATGCTGACGAAGCCCCTATCAATCACTCGCTTTCAAACTCTACGCAACAAATTAACAATTCAACCTCTGGCTTATTAATTTGAGGGGGGCTGTTAGCACACTCGGATCATCAATAGAAACGCTACATGATTACACATTGTGGACCACATGTGCAAGCAACACTACCCACTGTCACCACTACATTCCCTCTGTATGCACAGTCTGTCATCAACGTCTTCCTGATACACTCTAACAGCTTGTACTTCACTTATCTATATAAACTACTATGTAATACCTGATTTTATACATATATACACAATGTGAGCTACAGTTCTATAGAAAATTCTTTGCGCTTCTTCTCCTATCTCTATGCAACTCCTATGCATAAATCTTCTCAACAACTAATTAGAACTAAACAACACTATGGAAAGAGATTGTTAATGTATTTGTTGATGCATCTTCATCTAAGTTGATCTCCCTTTCTTGGGTATGGTGATTGGATGCTTAATAGCTTTATATTGAAGATGTTAGTTCCGTGTGAAATTTGTTTATGTTGATCAATCTGATTGTACTGTGGCCTCGTACCTTAAGAAGTCATTTTCTTGTGCTCGTTGGGGGGGTGGGGGTTTTACCCCCTGCTTGGGTTTGAGTGCAACGGCGTTGTGTTCCCGGCACTGATCGATAGAAAGTAGAGCATCACAACACCCTAGATTCGACGCAATACCGCTGTGTGACGCCTCAGAGCTGTGTGTTTGAGCGTCGTAGCATCATCATACAGAGGCTTGAGCGTCGCAGCGCTTCGAGGCGGATTGGACAATTATCTTTTTCATTTTTCTCAAAAGTTGCGTCTCTTGGTGGTTTAATACTTGGCTTTCTCTTATATTTTTGGTATTGTAGAGTCTCCTAATTTTCATAGTGGATTTGTTGTTGTGGTATGGCTCTGTGATTTTTTTCGCCTAATTTGTCTTTTTCCACATTAAATTCTAGTGTACTTTACTTTCCGCTGCTTTTACTTCATTGTTTGTTTCTCTTGCGATGTTTTGCTCCTCATCCGCAACAGGAGAGTCATTTAAATTCAAGTTATCAGATTTCTACGCCATCTTATGTACTTTGTTTTGGTCCTATTATTATGTAGTTAAGTAGCTCAAAATTATACTGAAATTGAATTTCTTCTGATATCATCTTCTTGTAATGCGTTTAACATCATGGTAATACACTAGAAAAAGAATGTCATTTTTTCATATGCAGCTATACTGACGTGGTTCTTGGAAAGGCACATAAGCATCATCATTGCATATCTTTGCTCAAGAATATTAGTAATTGGAATAGAAAATGCCAAGATGAATCACTTTATTCCAATTAGATTACTTTTATAAACAAAGATCAGGAGGCTGTTCTGCTGAAATTTAACTGTTCTTTCAGCACTTATTTCCAATGATTGATTGGCAGGTGCTCCCTGGTATTTGGGGCATTTATTATGCAGGAAAAAGAGCTTGGAATGTATAATCCAGATGAATCCAAGACGAGCAAGCATCTTTCCTGTAGTCATGAGCTATGTACTTTGGGTGGTAGTTGCAGTAGCTCAAAGCAACCTTGTCCTTACACTGTCAACTACTATTCAGAAAATACATCTACTTCTGGCTTGCTGGTAGAGGATACCATCTACCTGGCAAAAACTGACGATCACTCATCAATAAAAGCCCCTGTGATTTTAGGGTGAGTTGTCGCATTGTGGATTTGACTTGCAAAGAACAGTTATGATGATGCCTCCTGTTGAATCAACGGTTGTTTTTTTCACTTTTTTCCCCTCTTAAAACCAGGTGTGGCAGAAAGCAAAGTGGTGGTTATTTAGATGGTATAGCTCCTGATGGCCTTCTTGGATTGGGATTTGGTGAAATTTCTGTTCCTAGCATCTTGGCAAAGGCTGGATTTGTGAGAAATTCTTTCTCCATGTGCTTCAGAGGTGATGACTCTGGTAGAATATTTTTTGGTGATCAAGGAGTTTCCACTCAGCATTCAACTCCATTTGTGGCATTGGATGGAAAATAGTAAGTTCCCAGTAAAATGGTCCCATGGAGTTTAAGTTCAAATTAGTTTGTCATATGCATTAGCTTCGTTTTTTGGTTTTATAAATTCTAATAAATTTCCACCCTTGGATTGTGAAGTTCTATTCATTTTCTAGATCTTTTTGCTTGCTACTAGGGCAGGATTGTTGACTTTTAAAATTTTTTGTCCGAGATAGTTTCATTTTGCACATTATATTCTCCAATTAATGCACTAAGCTCAAAAAAAAAAAAAAATCTACTGGAAATAGTATGAGTATTCAGGAATATTTTCGAATAAAGATTCTCATTTTTTTAATGCTCATGATAAGAAATAAATGGGCAGTGGAGTATTGACTTCCCTAATGCGTCTTCTTTTATGTTTTGAATTTTCTGTCTTCATATATATGTCAATTTATTACTTCATAGTTAATATGTTATTCTTTAATATATTATTTGAGTATTATCTAAAAAATCACTTTAAATCTTTATTTTCACTTTATGCAATTTTTGGATTTTGAGGCTTACACCTCAAATCCCCTTGAGACTTATGCCTCGCCTCACGAAAGAAAAATGCCTCAATATCCAATTGCACAATTTTAAACTTGACCCTGGATAGTTCTTTTCATTTTGCGAGAATGCCTAGTTAGTAATGTCATTACTCATTAGTTTGTAATTCCAGATTTCCAGGATACTTGCAATTGTCTGTAGGCTAACTTCCATTTATGAAGTTTTACAGTACTTTTACAATAATCTTTTTTTGGCTTAGTGTTACTTACATTATCGGAGTGGAGAAATTTTGTGTTGGATCTTGGTGTTTTGGGAAAACCAGCTTTCAAGCACTAGTTGACAGTGGATCCTCTTTCACATTTCTACCTGAAGAAGTATACAGGAAGGTTACTTTGGAGGTATTCATTTTCTGCCACCTTCTCTGCGTTTCTGTTTCTCTGAAAGTTAATGTCTGTTCTGAAACCAGTTTGACAGGCAAATTAATGCTTCAAGGTTAGATTATGATGGTTCACCATGGGAATACTGCTACAGTGCCAAGTTAGTCCCACACTGATCAGCCATTGTGTTATTGTTTAACTAGTGGCAAAAAGGCATCTATAGGATATGTTGGGGTTGCTGCTTATAATGATAATTTCTTAATTTTTTGGTTTTTGCTGCTTATGAAAACAGTGCACTTGAGGCGCCTCAGGTTCCATCTATAACGTTAACTTTTTCGGTGAATGAGAGTTTCGAAGTTATCAATCCTATATTCTCAATTTATGACAAAGAGGTATGTAAAATAGTCATCTTATTGAACTGAGCTGCGTTGATGCAATTAATTATAGTTTGCATTCTTATGCTGAAAATTGTGAATCTGCATTTATCCCAAACTAAATGATTCAGTGATTGCCTTGGCCTTGCTCTTATGCTGAAAATTGTGAATCTGCATTTATCCCAAACCAAATGATTCAGTGATTGCCTTGGCCTTGCTCCAGTGGTCTAATATCGTGCCATCTTCTGATTTGCTTTAGCTTAGGTTACTCTGATTGCTTAAATTGCCTGATTAATTAAATGGCCTGATTGATTAACCATATTGGTAGCCACCAAATTGCGTATTTTGTTCTATACAATGTGCTTATTTTACTGGAAAATCTCGCTAATTGTCTATTGGTTTCTTATGAGCTATACTTGTATGATAATAATGCGTTCCTTTCCTAGAAAATCCTCCCAGAATATCTGCTGATAAAAGAAAAGGTTTCTTTTTTGCTTTTATATGTCATATTCTGATAGGAAACACTTGAAGATCTCAAGTGAAACCTAACAATCTCGACAAAAAACAGCGAAAAATCTTCACAAATACAATGGAAAATCAGAGAAAAACAAGAATTTTATTGCAAGAACACAAACTAATGGAAGAAGATACAAGATACAATTGATCCTTTAGTCGAGAGGAGAATCTATCTCTCCCAAATCTCTAGACGCCGCTAGAGCCCAAAACCTAAACCTAAGAGTTCTCAAATTCAGCCCAAATTCAAGATGAAACCCTAACGCTTACAAGAGAAACTATTTAAAGCAAAGAAGATTACAAAATCCCTAAACAACCCCCAATTCAAATTTTCCCTCCAAAAGTAATATTTAATTGAGTTTTTTTCAAAGTAATATTTAATTGAGTTGTTTCCTCCCAAAACAATATTTAATTGAGTCCTCTAATTCAAATTGGACTGGTCTAACATATTCCTATTTGTAAACCATATATGTTTATATTTTAGAAGAGCTATATTTTACCTGAAATGATCTTTTTGTTTTTATTAGATTTATATGAGAATTTGACTCTTAACCAGACATAATGAAGAAAAAGGATTCATTTAGCCGACCCCATATAGTGGGATAAAGACTTGATGATATTGTTATTATTGTTGTATACAGTTCTTGCCTAATACTTGTTAACTAAGTGACCAGGCCCTAAGTTCTCTTCAGCCTTGTTCTATACCTCTTGTAGCATTAAAATTTGTCCTATATTATGGATTTAAAAGTTTTTCTATGTATTCCGAAGCATCCATATCTCTACCTGGGAAGGTTTTTTCCTGAAATAATTGCTTAGAGCAGCTTTCAAGTGCTGATCAATGATAAAAATCATGCTTGTTATAGGAACATGATCTAGCTGGATTTTGTATAGCTCTGCAATCATCAGCTGAAAGTATAGGAACAATTGGCCGTGAGCATCCTTAATTTTGGGAACTATTTGCAGATTTTGTCTTCTCGTATTTTAAGCTCTTTTAACGTTTATTTTATCTCTCTTACGTTTTGTTGGCTGCATTGACTAAACTGTGCAGAAAATTTTATGACGGGATATCATATGGTCTTTGACAGAGAAAACTTGAAGTTAGGATGGTCGCGTTCAGATTGTAAGATAATCTCCTTTTATCTTTCTTTTCCTTATGGGATTTTTTGTTGGTTTAATTGAATGGTTATACAGTTGCCTACATTCTGCCTTACATCTCAATTAACTATGAACGCTTTTACGGATTCATCTGAGTTGGTTTGAAAATTACGGTCATATTTGATTCATCAAAGTTGATTTGAGTTGAGCCATCAAATTTTGGAATTTGTTGATTCTATCATTACCAAAATTGATTTAGAGTCTACTAAAAAATGTTCTCTCTCTCTCTCTCTCTACACACACATTATACATTCACATTCAGTCGCATTGAGCACATTTCAGTTGACTCAAACTATATTTGAGCGAGTTCTGTCAACTTAAATGAACCCCAAATCTATTTCTAGCTGAAAGAGAAGTTATAAATCACGTTGACTGGTCAAAATTTAAAAGATTTTTGAGAGATTTTTGTTTACATATGATAATTCACCAAAAAATGTCTTGATCGTGCATGAATCTCAGAGGAACTGCAGTCGGCATACTTATAGCCGCATTGAGTAGCTAGGCAAGATGAATCCAACGAGCCCAAGATAGATGAATTCCCACATCATTGAGACACTTAAACATTTGAAAAATGCTATATGATCGAGGGATCAATAAGGGCCGTTCGATGGAGCACTCAAAATCTGTCACAGTTCTCCATATTTATGAGGCATGCCACTCTTAAGAATCTATAAATAAACCCTCACTCTCTACTTTAAAGGAGACCTTTGCTATAGATTGGAGAGAGCTCTGAGACTTCAAGAGCTCCAATGCAAGGTAACCTCCGTCTTTGGACCACCGCCCGATCACCTATTGTAGTTGAACTTCCAGTTGGGTGCCGACAGCTGCCGGACTTCCGCCCGATCATCGTTGGACCACCGCTCGGCCGCCGGCTGCTATAGGACTACAAACTGCCCGTTGACCGCCGCTGGACATCGGCCCAACCGTTGCTGTGCCACTGCCCAGCCGCCGTCTATCGACGGACTTCCACCCGGCCACCGATCATCGTTGAATTTCTGACCATCATCATCGGACCACTGCCTGGTCATCGACTGTCGCCGAACTTCCAACTGGCCGTCGACCGCTGCTTGACTTCTGCTTGACCATCAACAGACCACCGTCGAACTATCCCTTATCCACCTACTGCCGTCGGACTTCCACTCGACCGATGACTGTCGCCAAACTTTCACTCGACCATCATCGACCGCCAACTGCCGACTACCATCCCTGAAACCACCGTCGCTCGCTGATTGTGGTCCCTCTAACCACTGTCGCCCGCTGACTATAGACTTCTGTCGCCCGCTAATTATGATCCGTCCAACCACCGTCGCTTGCCAACTCAGTCCCTTCGTCCACCGTCGCTCACCGACTATGATCCATCTGACCTCCACGCTCCCTCCAACTACCGTCGTCTGCTAACTACGGTCCCTCTGACCACCGTTGCCCGCCGACTACGGTCCGTCCGACCACCGCTGCTTACCAAATATGATCACTCCGACCACTGTCGCCTGCCGACTATGGTCCTTCCGACCACTGTCGTATGCTATCTACACTCCCTTCAATCTCTATTGCTCAAATATAGCCCTACCAATCAAGTGAATAGGCCAACGTTCTCTTGAGAATGACTCCCTTATCATTGGATTCTTCCAACCTCATTATATAATGTGCTCTATATGATACATAGAGCCAATGCCTTCTCTCTGCCGAAGAACACTATTTGTAATCGACTACAAACGCTAGTGAAATCATTTTAACTGGGTCAGACCCCATTGTTTCTCCCTTTTTAGAACTTTCCCAAAAAATCTTAGTATCTCTTATAACTCTCGCACCTGATTCTCTTTATCTGTTTGTGTGCTAAATCTTCATACAAAACTATGACGTCAAACTCCAATCTCTCTACCGCCACAAATTTTCCACGATGCAACATAAAATTTCAACAGCCTATTTGGCAGACATCGTGCTGGTTGCAGCGAGCGACATAGGCTAAGATTCCCCATCATGAAATGTCAACTCCCTCTTTTCTACCATCATTTTAAAAACAACTTGGCGGTGCAACTTCTAATACTTATGAACAAAATAACCATCAGAACAGATGGCTCGGGCAATGATGTACTGGCACTTCTAACATGATTGTTTGTTTATACGTTTTTCTTCCAATCAACTTTAACTGAATGAATCTTAAATTTATATACGAAGATTCCCTTATCAAATCTTTTTGCCATTGCAATGAATAGGCCATAATCTTGACAACAGCACAACGATTCCTCTTACTTCACCACCACACAGCACTACAGATTCTCCACTGCCAACAAACCAGCAGCAAAGCTCCCCTAATGGCCGAGAGGTAACGCCGGCCATCGCCGGAAGGGCGCCCAGCACCACTTCTGCAGCCTCACCTCAGGAACCCCTCTGGTTTTGTTCCTTATTTCTTTTTTTGTCTCAGTTTTTCTTATCTTTAGTTGTTTGAATGTTTAACATTAATATATATTGATATGTGCATATTCATAGTCTATGTAAATTTTATATCATTAAGCAGGCTTGCCTTTTTTCCAGTGTTTTGGATTGTTGGGTCTATGCTCTAGGGGTTATTTGATTCTATAATAATATTATTTTATTTAAAAATTATTTTCATATTTTTTTTTTAGATTGAAAGATAAATGGGATGAACTCTTCAATAAAAATCACAGATACTAAAAAAAATGTTTTAATAAACAGTAAGAAAGTCATTTTAAACTAAACTTTATATATAGGCTTTGTTTTTTTTTTTTTGTTTCATTTGGGACGATTTTATTACAGTTTTTTTAAATAAATTTTATTAAAAAAGTTCTAGTTCAATAAATTTTTATATTAAAAATTTGATTTAAAAATAATGAGAAAATTATTCCAAGCTAACATCTGGTTGATGTTTGTAGTTCTTTAATCTTATATTTAAGCATTCCATTATAACTTTGGGGGGATATTATTATAATAACTTGCTAGTTAAATTAATCTTATACTTGAGCTTCATCCACTACTTTCTAAAACGGCTTTTTAGTATAAAAATTTTTATATTAAAAAGCTGATTTAAAAAGCAATAAAAAGACTATCCTAATGAAGCCTAAAAGAATTAACGGTTTTCTTTTCTTTGTCAACATTAATCTTTTTTTCTCGACCACTAAAGTTTTCGGCATGTTTTGTCCTCTCGTTTCATCTTAGATAGGACCAAACTTTTGCTACGCCGAATTTTTTTTGAACATTTAGACTAATAAGACACTCACACACACATCATATATACAAGATTTGAATTCAAAATCTCTTAGTCGATATTCAAAACTCTCAATTAATAGATCAAAACGAGCTACATCACATAAAGCTTTGTAGCATCTGACCTACTTCAATAATTATTCAGTTGTCATGTGATTCAACCTCCTTCTCTCAGCCATTAAGAAAGGCATATTATCTCTTTTTCTTTACACAAAAGAAGAGGGCGGGTGTTCTATCCTTTCTGCTTTTCTGCACGATTTAATTCATGGAATAAGGCACAGTTATATGGTTCCTCCCGTCTAGAATTTGTTTTCTTTTGTTGAATGGAAAAATAGTATATTAGAATCTTGTATTCTTCAGTCTTCAATTAAATGAAGAGGAGCTCTCTAAGAGAGATTTTTTATATGAAAAATCTAAAGAGAAAACTCATGAAACTTAGGGTCTGTTTGGGATGGCTTCAACTTTTTATAAAGATGATTATAAGCCGCTATGGAGAAAATTGAAAGCTGCTATAGAAAAAAACTTTCTAACAATTTTTTTTTTTTGAAACAATGAAAAATTAGTGAAAAAAATAAGAAAAATGTGGTTATGATCTAAAAACCAAAATAGTAAGAAGATAAATGTTAGATGACTTTCTTTTAGTAATGATTGCAATTACTATGATTTTATTTGGGATGATTTTCTTAATGCTTCTTAAACTAAATTTTTAGTATAAAAATTTTAATTTTTGTATTAAAAAACTGCTTTAAGAATCAATAAAAAAAACTATTTCAAGCAAAACCTATATTATTTATAGGAATATTTAGCTTCAAATTTTACAAAAAAAAAAAAAATTAAGACTTCATTTAAGATAGTTTTTTAGTTAAAAAAATTTTTGAATTAAAAAATTTTTATACTAAAAAGTTGCTTTTAAAATAATAAAAAAAAAAAAATCTCAAATAAAGCCTAAATGTTACCTAAAAAACTGTGATAGGCATTAAAAAAAAAAAAAATGGCAATCAAATCAAAGCAAAAAGGGTGTGGACAAAATGTTCTCTTACCATTAGCAGAGATTCTTTCTTTTAGTCTTTGGAATCTTCTTCTAGTGTATATCACATATTTAGAAAGTTCTCAACCAAAGCCCTATTGGTACAGATAGAAATTCGCAGCAGATATTTTTCAATGCATAAGTTACCCAAATGAAATTAGGACTCTTCTACCTTTTGATAAAAAAATTCCTTGCTTATAGTTTAAGTAAAATGGTCAATTGGTTCATTGCTTTCTGACCAAGAAATATATGATCAAACATAAGATCAACGAACCTTAATACTTAGCAACACCAACAAAAACATCAAGCCTTTATCCCACTACGTGGGATCGGCTACATGAATCCTTTTTCTCCATTGTGTCCAATTAAAAATCAAATTCTCGTTTAAATCTAATAAAGAAAGGTCATTCCTAATATTTTCTAACCAAGTCTTTTTAGGTCTACCCCTACCTTTCTTAACATAAGTCAAATCTAATACCTCTACTCTCCTAACTGGGTCATCGGAAGGCCGCCGTTTTATGTGACCAAATCATCTAAGGCGACTCTCTCTAATTTTATCTTCTACTGGAGCTACTCCAACCTTTTCACGTATATGATCATTTCGTATCCTATCTCTAAGGGCAAAGCCACTCATCCACTTAAGCATCCTCATCTCTGCAACACTTAACTTAGTATTATGCTTCTCTTTTAATGGCCAACATTCGGCACCATAAAGCATTGCAGGCCTCACTACCATCTTATAGAATTTTCCCTTAAGTTTGAGGGGTACATTTTCTTCACATAACAAGCCCGATGCATTCCTCCACTTCAACCATCCAACTTAAAAATTCTGCTGATAATATCCCCATCTATTTCACCATCACTCTGAACAATAGATCCAAGATATCTAAAAACATTAATACTTAGCAAAAGAACAAAAAAGTTTGAAGACTAACCTACATCAAATGAATTATATAATTCAAGTGTCAGGTATTATAAAAAAGTTTGCTCATAACAAAATAGATTATAATAAAAATGAAAATATTAATATAAATATAAGATAACATTAGAAAAAAATGAAATACAAAAACATCATGAATCCTTCTCCATTATGGGATCGATCTGCTACATGAATCATTTTTTCAATTGTATTATATTAAGAGTCAAATTCTCATTTAAATCTAATAAAGAAAGTTCATTTCTAATACTTTCTTAGTCTTTTTAGGTCTAACTCTACCTTTCTTAACATAGATCAGTTTTAATAAATCTACTCTCCTACCCGGTTCATCGAAAGGCCAATGTTTTATGTGAAGAAACCATTTATGACGACTCTCTCTAATCTTATCTGTCACTAGAGCTACTCCAACCTTTTCACATATATACTTATTTCGTATTCTATTTCTAAGAGTAAAGCCGCTCATCCACACAAGCATCCTCATCTCTGCAACACTTAGGCTTCATTTGAGACAGCTTTCTTACTACTTATGAAAACAATTTTTTAGTGTAAAAATATAGGCATAAATATAAATTAAGAATTGGCTATAATTAAGGGGTTTTTCCACCAAATTCAAATAAATGGGAGCCGTTACCTCCCTATGATGAAAGAAATCAGATTGTAATGAGAATTCAGAACTACAGATGAAGGAAAGAATTCAGAGTTTATGACTTGTTTGATGTTGACAGATTAATCATTTAATCCTATGATTAGGCTGTGTTCCAGTTTGACAATCTCACCTCCAATCAAACCTCCAATCAAAGGCCAATTCATCATCATTATCTAAGACTTAGGAGTTTCATTTTACAATGAGATAATTGTTTTTCTTGATAAGGAGAATAATATAAGAATCTTTACAAAGAATTCGTTATAAAATTTCGTAAAATTAGATGATGATGTAGCAGGTTTTCTTTTTGAAACCTGGCTACAGGTTCCATGTTTCCGGACCATATGAGACCCATTGCCTTCGGATATGGGAAGTCTCTTTCACTGTTTGTTTTCTGTAAGGAGTTCATCAAAGCCGAAATGAATTCCCCCGACCAAAGGCATTTGATATGAAATCCCTAAAGTAAAAATAGCTAAACTCATAAATATCGAGGCATCTTTTGGTGTAATGGTTGGAATTTTCGTAAGAAACTCCGCAGTTAAGCGTGTTCATCTCGGAGCAATTCTGTGATGGGTGACATACTGAAAAGATCCACCAACAGAACAAAACCACGAAACTCTTAGACTAAAACGGGCAATATCTCAATAGTTAAGAATTTGAACGGTTACATTTGGGTTCTCCACCCCCGTACATAATAAGTTGGGGTTTCCAAGAAAATAAATCAATCGTAACATATATTAATGTGAAAGAAACAAACATAAAGATGCTCAAGGTGTCAAGTTTCGGAAAGTACCTTCTCAAAGAATGACTTCCATTAAATTCTAATGAACTTACAGTACTGCTTAAGTGCAATGCCCTGTTAAGGAAATAAAGAAATGTCTTAAACACCACAATTAGCTAATTTGATTGGACTCAATATTTTATATAAATTCTCCTAATGATGAAACATTCATATAAAAGAAAAATGAAAGTTTATGCAAACAAAGCTTGTAAAGGAAAAACATGATATTTCGAGACTAAGGCTACGTTTGGGATGACTTTCTTACTGTTTTATAAAATAATTTTTTAGTACAAAAATTAAAAATTTTATTCTAAAGAGCGGCTTTAAGAAGCAGTAAAAAAACCATCCCAAATGAATCCTAAATTGATCATATATAAATAATCAGGAGATTATTTTGGAGTTTATCCAAATTTGTTGACATAGAAAAGAGTCACATACTGATATAAGTTGCCGTATTGATAATTAACATGGATGAGTTAAATAATTCTAAATCTTGCTTCAGTTTGGTCACAGGATAATACAAACTTGATAAGAGTGAACCTAATTCAGAATCAGAGATAAGATATAAAGGTACAAGAGAATGTCCGTATGAACAGTTATACTGCTTTAAGTTTAATACTAATTGAAATAGTAAAATGTACATCGCTAGCAATCTTTCAGGAATACTGTTACAGTCACCAAAGAAATACGCAGAGAATCAAATTGGGATTTACTTTTTTTTTGTGTGCGTGAATTTCTTTGAGTAGTGAGGCTTTACCGGGCAATAACTGCATTTCACTAATTTTTAAGTCTTTTCTCTCTCTCTCTCTCTCTCTCCCACTTTCTGAAAGTTGAAGCTTTGAGAATCAAGAGTGTAGCTTTTTTCCTTGGGGGGTTGGCTTGTGCTTTGGAAAGGCTATATAAAGGGACTATAGGCCGATCAAAGTTTGCAGACTTGCAATAAGGAAAGAGAGAACAAAAGGAGGAAAGCTATTCTGAAGGAAGCCTCTTGCTGCTCGCAAAACTTGAGCCCCTCTTAAAATTCCCTCCCACAATTCTATTCACCCTTAACAGATACTTGGATCTTTTACGTTTTTTAATCACCTTTTCTTTTTCTCCATCAAAATCACGCTAACTCAAGCTGAAGGCTTGGCCATTTTCTACAAGGCCTTCCAAGCTAAAAAGAACAGCACCTTGCTTCCTTCCTTGCTATAGCCAGGTTCATATTGCTTCTGATCTTTCTTCTCTCTATCTGCTACTTATTAAATACTTAAGCTTCTCTGCAGTCATGGGGTATCTATCAAGCCTTCTTCCATGTGGCTACAGTCACAAGAAGAGGAAGAAGTCATTCCAGACTGTTGAACTTAAAGTCAGGATGGACTGTGATGGTTGTGAGCATAAAGTGAAGAAATGCCTCTCCTACATGAAAGGCATGCCTTGAGACCTCTCTCTCTCTCTCTCTCTCTCTCTCTCTCACCGAAATGCAGAGTTCTTGACTAACTTTTTTTCCCGTTATCTTCACTAATAGGACACAATGGAGAAAAATGATTCATGTAGCCGACCCCACGTAGTGGGATAAAGGCTTGATGTTGTTGTTGTTGTTTATCTTCACTAATGTAGGCATGTCATATTGTTGCAGGAGTTCGCACGGTGGAGATCAACAGGAAGATAAATAAGGTTACCGTAACTGGTTATGTTGAGCCAAACAGGGTTGTGAAGAGGGTTCAGTCCACTGGGAAGAAAGCAGAGATATGGCCTTATGTTCCTTATAACTTGGTCACGAATCCATACGTGACCGGGACCTATGATAAGAAGGCTCCTGCTGGGTATGTGAGAAAAGGTGAGGCTACCCAAGTTCCAAGCCTAGCAATCAGAGAGGAGGACAAGTTCACCAATTTATTCAGTGATGATAACCCGAATGCTTGCTCCATCATGTGAGAGGGACCTTAAAAGTCTTGAGAGAGGGTGGAACTAAAAGAATCAGGGGTTAATTCCATGTCAAAGAAGAATGTTTCTTTTCATGGCATCTATGTAATAGGAGGAATAGGTTCAGGCCATAGTTGCATGAGAGAGTATGGATATAATTGTCAATTTACCTTAGAATCGGTGAACTTTTCCTGGTATTTACCTTAGAGTTATATAAACACTGGTTTATTTTTCACATAGCTACAATGGAATTTTGATCCGCAACATCTAGGGGTTTATGATTCCTAATATAACTACAGATATGATAAATGAAAGTCATGTAAATCTCAATTGAAATTCACAATTCAAAAGGCTGCCAATTAAAATAAGCAGTTGTCATCTTTTCTTGGAAACCAGAAATATGATAAATTCATTATAATATAACGATTGACTAAATCACAAAAAATCAGCGGGGAATTCAAAAACACTAAAAACCACAATGTCAATGGAATTGACACCACAATTGGAAAAATAGATTGGCTAAAAATCAATCATGCTAGTAAAACAATATCAAATTAGGTAGGGAAAAAAAAAAGAAAGCATTTCACCAAATATAGAAATTCACGCATCTTCTGATTCAAGTAGGTAACTATTAGGAAAGAATTGAATAAATTGAAAGAATTTGGCTGAAATTTGAAATTTCAACAAGATGAAAGCAGAAATTGAGAGAAATTATCTGGCAAAACACTAGAGAACTTGTGATGAGGACATCAGATTTCGACACGTGTACCATCGCCGGAGACGCAGATCGACAGCTACGATCCAGAGCCTTTATTTCTGATTTATTTGTATTTTATTTATATTTGTATTTCTATTTTCTTAGTTTGCCCCTGTGGGCATTGAGTCACTTATGTAGCCCTGAGGGCATTTGTGTCATTTTAGTTTTATTTTTTTTTACCATGACCTATTTAAAGGAGGCCTCATGCAATGTATGAGCTAATGTTGATGAATGAAATTTCTCTTTTGATCTCTTTGTGAGTTTGTGAACTTTCCATGATCTCTTTGTGAGTTCTTGAGGAAGTGGCGCTTGTGGATCTCTTTGTGAGTTTTATTGGAGGTGGTGCTCGAGCTTTGTAGATCCGGATTTTTCTTTTCCCAAAATCCAATTTATTTCTTCTCTACCAAACCAAAATCCCTCCCTCCCAAATTTTCCCCACCGGCCCCCATAAGTCCACCGCCGGCCATCCCAGGCCGATCCCGCCACGGAGCCTCCCTGGTCGGCTATCATCCCGCCAGCTCCAGCAGCCGAATCCAAGCCACCAACCTTGCCGCCGGCCCCTTGGATCCTCCCTCTTGTTTTGAATTTCAAATCTCTCTTGATTAACTCACTTTTCTAATTAGTTTCTCTTCAATTAAGAAAGTCAATTAAGATGATTAAAGCCTATTTCGAAATTCAAATTTGTTTCCCTCTCATATTAAACCTATTTGGGAAGTTACTTAAAATATAATCAAATCTGAAATTAAAATTCAAATTTGATTACGTTTTAATTACTTAACCTTGGGTCCCACTTACTTAACTCCTAAGCTTCTCTTCCCAACCCTATATGTCCGGCCCCTTTAATGGGCTTTCTTCTCTCCCAAATTAAATTAAAAGCTCTGCCAATTCAGCCCCAAATCCCTCCCCAGTGTCGCCGGTAACTCTTAATTAATTGCATGCTCCCCAAGAGCTTGTTAGACAGGTCCATCTGGTCCTCACGGAACCGGTAGTTCGCGAAATATCACGAGATCTCCGCCTCCTGCGGAGATCGGGCGGGCCGACCGCTCATGAGGAGCATTTTAGGAAGCTTTTTTGAGGGTTTTGAGAGGAAAATTTGAATGTAGGGACTGTTTAGGGATTTCCTTTTGATTTGTATGGATTAAATAGTTGATTTTCCTAGGGTTTGATCATCTTGAATTTGACAGAAATTTGAGATCTCTTAGATTTAGGTTTCTTTGGGCTCTAGCGGCGTCTAGAGATTTGGGAGAGATCGATCATCCTCTCGAATTGAGGATTAATTGTATCTTGCTGTTTTTATTCATCTACTAGTGAAATACAAGCTTTCCTTTGAGTTTTCTCTCAAATTTTCCCGGACAAGTGCTGTTTTTCTGCTGTAAACAGCAGATTTCTGCTGTTTTCCTGTTGTGGACAGCCATTTGGCCGCTGTTTGTTTACCGATTTTGGTTAGGTTACTTGCGAACTCAAGTATTTCCTATCAAATTGGTATCAGAGCA